GAATCTCCCCCTGAAACCCTCCAGGAACATCCTGACATTTGTTAACTCTCAGGCATGCTCGCTATGAAGATTGGCTACCCAGTCCGCCGCCTCCCCTGTCAACACTGTTGTGACGGCCACCACCATTGCCTATTGCGATAGGTGGCGATAGAACCGTCGATAGAGGTCAAGGTCGCTAATGACCTGGCTTAAAAACAGCGCTACCCGATCAGGACTCCCATCAAACAAAGCCTGGATGGGTGGTGGGGCCCAGAACCATGGTTGTTGAGGCCATAATCCAGCAGGCCATAATGGCACCTGCTCATGCCCCCTTGCATTGTCTGTGCTACTACCAGCTACCCGGGGAGGTTCCGAATGCTTCCACACAGGCGGAGGTCTGGTGGCAAGCATCTCATATCCTACGCTTGGGCCCTAACCAGGCCCATGCCCTGCCTCCTCAGTGGATGGTACCGGGGCCCCAACAGTATGTTGCTCTGCACCCCTAAACTGTCTGAGATCTTGCTCCTCCGAAGTTTGGGGCTGGTAAGGCGGAAGCGTGACTCAGAACTGGACCCTCCACCCCCTCACCAGGTGGTTGAGGGGTCCAGTCCCATTGTCCAGGGTTGCCATGAAGGCGCGTCCATGAAGCTGGCTTCCCCAAATTTTTCTCTCAGCACTTCCATGGTGGTAGGCCCAGGACTTGTGGAATAACTCCAGTCCTGTTCGTCTTCTTTCATCCACTGTCTCCCCTTCCAGCCCTGGAATGGTGCGCCCCCAAAGGGTGGTGGGGTTCTGTCCTGAGGCTCCCCAGGACCCGTTAATACAGAGCTATGCCACCAATGGCCTGTGGCAAACTGCATTGTCCCCTTATCCTTCTCCTGGCTCTCCACCGGACGGTCTTCGCTCCAAGCTTTCCTCTCCTTTGGCTGCACAACCCTGGCTTCACTTTCCTCAGGTGTCACTGCCTCCACCACCTCCTCTTCCCCTTCAGCCACCACAGCCTCAGGTACAGTTGTAGAAGTTCCCTCAGCCATGGCCTTACTCACGACTACAAACAGGCAGGTTGAGTATTAACGGGAGCGCTGACTTGCTCTCGGTTTTCTAATCCACGTCTCTGCGAACAAACGCTGAATCAATCAAAGTCAGTCTTATTTGTTTCACCAGTGTTCGTTTAGTTTTAGTTTAGTTTTAGTTTTATTGAATTTGTATACCACCCTACTCCCGAAGGACTCAGGGCGGTGAACAGCCATAGAATAAAACAATATAAATACAAAATTTAAAATAGAATAAAACGAATTAAATAATTTGGCTGAACAAATTTAAAACCCCAATACTTTAAAACCAAATTTAAAATTTCCATTTAAAAGGGGGAAAGGCCAGCCTGATGAAACAAGAAAGTCTTGAGCGCGCGACGGAAGGTACGCAGATCCGGGATCCTCTGTATCTCTGGGGGGAGCTCGTTCCAGATAGTAGGTGCCCCCACAGAGAAGGCTCTCCCCCTGGGGGCTGCCAGTCGACATTGTTTAGCCGATGGCACCTGGAGGAGCCCCTCTCTATGGGAGCATACTGGTCGGTGGGAGTCTATTGGTGGTAGCAGGCGGTCCCGTAAATAACCAGGTCCTAAGCCATGGAGCGCTCTAAAGGTGATAAGCAAAACCTTGAAGCGCACTCGGAAGACCACCGGGAGCCAGTGCAGCTCGCGCAGGAGAGGTGTTACATGGGAGCGCCACGTCGCTCCCATCACCACCCGCGCGGCCGCACTCTGTGCCAGTTGGAGCCTCCGAGTGCTCCTCAAGGGGAGCCCCATGTAGAGAGCGTTACAATAGTCCAGACGAGAGGTGACGAGGGCATGAGTGACCGTGTGTAAGGAGTCCCAATCTAGAAAGGACGCAACTGGCAGATCAGGCGAACCTGATGAAAAATACTCCCGGCCACGGCCATCAAGTGCTCTTCTAAAGACAGCCGTGAATCCAGGAGGATACCCAAGTTGCGAGCCCTTTCCGTGAGGGCCAATGATTCGCCCCCAATAGTCAGCGATGGCACCAGCTGACTATATCTGGATGTCGGAAACCACAGCCACTCGGTCTTGGATGGGTTGAGCCTGAGCCTGTTTCTCCCCATCCAGATCCGTACGGCCTCCAGGCACCGGGACATCACTTCAAGGACATCGTTGGGGTGGTCTGGGATGGGGATGTACAGCTGGGTGTCATCAGCGTACTGATGGTACTCCACCCCAAAACCACGGATGATCTCGCCCAGCGGCTTTACATAAATGTTGAACAAAAGGGGCGAGAGGACTGATCCTTGTGGCACCCCACATATAAGGGGTCTCGGGGTCGACCTCTGCCCCCCTATCAACACAGACTGTGACCGGTCGGAGAGAAAGGAGGAGAACCACCGTAGTACGGTGCCTCCCACCCCCAACTCTTCCAACCGGTGCAGCATGATACCATGGTCGATGGTATCAAAAGCCTCTGAGAGATCTAACAGGACCAGGACAGAGGAGCACCCCCTGTCCCGAGCCCTCCAGAGATCATCCACCAACAATGCCGTTTCCGTGCTGTACCCAGGCCTGAAGCCCGACTGGAACGGATCTAGATACGTCGTTTCATCCAGGTACTGGGGGAGCTGTCCCGCAACCACACTCTCAACAACCTTCGCCACAAAGCGAAGGTTGGAAACTGGACAATAGTTAGCCAATACTGCCGGGTCCAGGGAAGGCTTCTTGAGGAGAGGTCTCACCACCGCCTCTTTCAAGACAGCGGGAAAGACACCCTCGCCCAATGAAGCATTTATAATCCCCTGGAGCCAGCCTCGCGTCACCTCCCGGGAAGCCAGCACTAACCAGGAGGGGCACGTTTAATCCACTACAAACTGGTATCACTTAAAGACGAGTACGAGCTGTTCAAAGTCGGCTATCGCCTCTCAGCGGCTTTTAAATATGCTGCCCCGCCCCGTACCCCACCCTCGGCAGCGTGTCGCACCTGTCTTGAGTTTTGGCGGCTTCCAGCAACTTTCTGTGTTCCTCTGCTCCAGTGTCCTTCAAAGCCAGGAATCGTAGCCATGATGACCCCAATTCACCATCTCGTCCTATTCCCTAGTTGCTTCTCATAAGTAGCACCATCACCATCACCACCCGGTGAAACGCCATCACCGTGAAGCGAAGTCTAACCACTCAGTGCCTAGCCCTCCCTGGAAGTATTGGCTTGAGGGCTGTGCTTACGTTTCATTACCCTCAAGGATCATGTGTCAAGCCATGGCTGGGCTCGACATGTATCCTTACGATTTATATTGATATTGTTTCCTGATTGCTTATTTGTACCCCATGACTATCATTAAGTATTGTACCTTATGATGCTTGATGAACGTATCTTTTCTTTTATATACACTGAGAGCATATGCACCAAGACAAATTCCTTGTGTGTCCAATCACACTTGGCCAATAAATTCTATTCTGCATACATACATACATACATCTCCCCTCACATTAAGAACCACATTTCTGGACAGCTCATAAAACAATAAAAGCAATAAAAAAAGGAGCAGTATTTTATTTTGGCTTTAAAATCTGATTCTAGCAGAGTTGAGCCAAGACTAACGGAGAAGCCAGAAACGACATGAGCTACAAACCTCTTTTATGAGAGTAAGTTAGGTTGGATCCTGTTCTTTACTGCACTCTTTGCAACTTATTCCTGTAAGGAGCCATGATTCTACTCTCTTTACGATTTATTATCAATCTAAAGTGACTTTATTCATTCAGTCATTTAGCAGTTTGAAGGCTGCCTGACTCTTTGGAGAGCTTACAATTAAAAAGTGAGAACAATACAAAAATAATCATAAACACCATGAAGATGGACATGAACAAAGAACCCATATAACGAGTTGCACCACCAACCTATCCAAAGTCTCAGAGATACAGCCAAGTCTTCAGTAGCTTCCTTAATGTCAACAGCTTGGGAGCTATCCCAAGAACTGAATTAACATTTTACCGCAAGACAGAGTGCTTTATATTTGAATTCATTTCAGTGCAATAGTTAAGCCTTCAGATTTTTAAAAGAAAAAGTATTTGAACTATTTTTTATATCTCTATTCTTATGCATATAAATAGAAGATGTTAGAAAATCAATTTTTAAAATAAAAATATTCTAATTCATAAAATATATGGTGAGGTGTTTATTAAAGTTTGAAGAATAAATTATAAGAATAAAAAATGAAGTATCTAGTATTGAATTGATAGGTTGCATCCAGGACTTTCTTATATATTAGTGAAATGGTGATACTGGAATTTGACTACTTTTTAATTGATGATATTTTTCATCTACTCAATAAGATCTTAAGATAACCTTATCCTCATTTTTTTCTGTGAGAACTCTGGCACACATCTAATTATATATTTACTGTTTGCATCTTAAGGTTAACAGTTTATTGTCTGAAACATTTTGATTTTTATTGGAATTTATTTTGATATTACAAAAGGTTCATGTGTTTTAGAGTGTATGTTGACATTTTTTTCTGGCTATTAGTATTGTATTTGATTTTACTTTTGGTTTTTTGTTTATTTTCTTTACAACAAAGCATTTATGTTAGCAGCAGGAAATATTGTTAGGATTAGGCTGTAAAGAAAATAGTAATGAAAGCTACTATGAGGAATAATATGAGAAAATATTAAATTTTGCTGTAAGATGGATAGCTAAGTGGGCTACATTCTCAACCAAATGTGTTTATTAAAAGAAAACGTTCTTTGAGAAAAATGAGATGCTTTTTCAAATAAAAGTTTATGAGCAGATAACATAGAAAATTAAAATTACAAAAAAGTGATTTAAAAACTTGGTTTAATTTATTAGTTCGATTTATATGCCGCCCTTCTCCGGAGACTCAGGGCTGCTTACAATGCATTAAGCAATAGCCTTCATACTTTTGTATATACTTGCTTAGTAGGGCTTTTTGGCCCCCCCGAATGGTGTTCTGTTTTATACAAAGTCAACTTATTGCCCCCACAACCGGGTCCTCATTTTACCTACCTCGAAAGGATGGAAGGCTGAGTCAACCGTGAGCCTGGTGAGAATTGAACTTGCAGTAATTGCAGGCAGCTGGCAGCTAAGTGCTACTTTAACAGCAGCAGTTGAAATATATCCTTGTCATTCTCTTGGTTGTCATAACTACTTTTTCCCAAATTGTGATAAAGCTAAGTAACATTAATGACTAACTTGAATAAAGAATCTTTGTTTCAAATGTAATATAGAATGTTTACATTTAGCATTGTTTCCATAGAAACAATTATTTCTTGTATTTTTGCATCAGATATGATTTTCCAAGGCCTCAGCTTTCTGAAAGGATGCATTTGGCGGTAGTAGCCTGTGGTGAAAGATTGGAGGAAACTGTTACTATGTTGAAATCAGCTATTATTTTCAGCATCAAAAATCTTCAGTGTCATATTTTTGCTGAGGAATCATTACATAGTGACTTCAGAGAAATAGTAAGTATTCATAAAAGAATGTATGCCTGGATTAAGGTAACTTTGTTTGTATTTTTCCACCAAATCTAAGGCTGCTTGGTTCAGTCTCTAAATCTGTCAGTCTGCGATCTATATTCTGTGAAGATTTTTTTTTTACTTTGTAACTGGAAAATAGTATATTTCCAAGAGCAAAAAGCATGTAATTTGGGTATATTGTGACCTCATGGTGGATGAGTTGAACCCCTGCTGTCTTCTCAGTCATAAGTGGAGCTACACTACAGTATTCATCAATTGCACAGCAGTTTCCAGTTCTTTGAACTCTAAAGTTGAAAAGAAATTGAGTAATTAGAAATTATTATCCAATACAGGTGGTCCTTGATTTACAACAATTCATTTAGTGACGATTCAAAGTTACAGTGGCACTGAAAAAGTGACTTATGACCATTTTTTACACTTACACCTATTACAATATTCCCATGGTCATGTGATCAAAATTCAGACACTTGGCAACTGACTCATATTTATGACGTTTGCAGTGTCCTGGGATCAGGTGATCACCTTTTGTGACCTTCGTATAAGCAGAGTAAATCAGGAAGCCAGATTCACTTAATAACTGTGTTACTAACTTAACAACTGCAGTGATTCATTTAACTGTGGCAAAGGTTGTAAAATGGGGCAAATTTATTAATAACTGTCTCCCTTAGCAACAGAAATTTTGGGACTCAATTGTCATAAGTCAAGAACTACCCTTATCAATAAAATGTTCATAACATATTTTAACATTTGCACATGATAGAAGTATAGTCTTATAAGAAACACGCCTCTTAAATTTATATAAAACTTAAGAGTCAGTTTGGTATAGTGGTTAAGATGCTGGCCTAGAAACCAGGAGGTTGTGACTTCTTGACCTGCTTTTATCCTATGAATTGCATTTGTCTCACTTATCCTCTGATACAGTCTGAGTTTGGCAACATTAGTATCCTGCTGAACCATACTTTTTTTTTTTACCTTAAATATACACATGCTATAGCTGTCTTTTATGAAGACAGGTGCTTTTCATAGAAAATACATTTGTGATAAATTGTGAGTTTGGTTATTTGATATTCCCAATTATTTGCATAGAGTTTTTTTTTTTAAACTAACACCATTTTCTAAAACACGTATTTGCATTTATTTATTTATTTTATTTATTGGTTCGATTTGTATGCCGCCCTTTCTCTGGAGACTCAGGGCAGTTTACAATGCGTTAAGCAATAGCCTTCATACTTTTATATATACCTGCATAGTAGGGCTTCCCCCCCCCCAAGCGGTTTTCTTTTTTATACAACGTCAGCTTATTGCCCCCACAATCCGGGTCCTCATTTTACCTACCTCGAAAGGATGGAAGGCTGAGTCAACCTTGAGCCTGGTGAGATTTGAACTTGCAGTAATTGCAGGCAGCTGGTGCTACTTAATAGCACTTTAGTCTGCTGCGCCACCAAGGCTCATTTTATGTTGATTCGTTTTTCTCTGTTTTACATCAATTGCAAGTAGTGACTGATCCAAGATATTCTCACCCTCTTAGTAAAATATAATGAGTACCATTTGTTTTAGAAAGGTAGCATATAAATCCAATAAAATAGAGAACAAATTGTCAGTATTATATATTCCTTTCACAAATCTTAATTTTACAGGCTTGAAAACATACTGTTTAATAATCAAAATGAGAAATAGAGTAGTTAGAAATTGGTTAATCTTGCTTATATACTTTTGATACAAAAATACTAAAACATGTTGTTTTTTTCAGCTTGATAATTTGAGACATAATGAAAAATTTAATTATACTCTGTACCCTATCTCATTTCCAACTGAGAATGCAGCAGAATGGAAGAAATTGTTCAAGCCTTGTGCTTCTCAAAGACTTTTCCTACCAGTAAGTAGCAATGGTAGTTGTTAAGCAAAATTAATAATTCTAGTCATAAGTGAAAAATAAGTGTTATTTTATTCTTAAATAACTGCCTTGAGTCCTTTTTCAGAATGAGATGGGCAGCATATAAATATAATAAATAAATATGCTTCTAGAGAAAAGTGAGTTATTTGGTAAGCTATTGCTGTTTGAATGAACATAAAATGTAACTTCTTCAGTTATTTATTTGGCATATTATTACAACGTAATAATGTGGTGGACTAGTTCTGCCCTTTCAAAAGTAAGTAGTACTACCAAGTTGAAGCATAATCAGGTTGAATATGAAGAGGTAGGTCATTACTTGTTGGCTGAGATTCCTGTTTCAGTATTCCAGTTACTCCACACTAAAGATTTATTTAATTGATTTGATTTGATTTGATTTTTATACCGCCCTTCTCCAACAGGACTCAGGGCGGTGAACAGCCGAGATAAAACATAACATATAAAATTTAAAAAACAGTTTAAAAGATATTAAATAATTTTGGCCCACAATTTAAAACAACCCAGTTAAAACCAATTTCAAATTAAAACCGAAAGGATGGGATCAAGCCAGCCCAGCTAGATGAAATAAATGAGTTTTCAGGGCCTGACGAAAAGTCCGGGTGCTGATGATTGTGCTTTGGCTTGGAAATATTATTGGAATTCTGATTAGAAGGGTTTTACTTCCTTACAGTTTCCTCTCTCATTAATAAATTGATGAAAAAGTTAAACATTCTAATAAGCCAAGAAAAAACAACTTTACTCACCAAATAACAGAAATTTGAAGGCATATCTATGTATTCAGTACATTTGGCAATTACAGAATCACCAATACACAGCTTATATTGAATGAAATAACATCAAAAGTTGGAAAGAACAAAATTAGATTTTCAGTATGAAATTTTGCCCAATATAGAAATCTAAATTAAAGTATTCTGAGTAGATACTGTACTTTGCATTCTGTACCTAAGTGTCAGGGTTCCAAGTAACACTCCCCAACGAAAGAAAACTCTGAAGCTTCAGTTTCCTCAAAAGTTACATTTTATTAGAGATGTCATATTGGCACATCTGGGAAAACCCGAATCTGAAAGTTTCCAGGTTTTCCTCACCCAAAGAAAAGTTCAAGTCCCTGCCCAACCCCCACAAGTCCATCACATGATCCTATCAAAGCAGTATCCCAACTGGAGATGCCTCACAGGTCCAGCCTCCTAGGTAGAGGCAGGACGGCCTTGACTTTCTGAGAAAGGAGTGTTATTATGACTATATATCACCCCTGCTTCATACAATCCCCCTTCCCAATTTCCCACAGCAGTAAATGTGGCAGGCCTGAAGGCCCAATTCAAAAGATGGCTTCCATAAGCACATCTAATGAAAAGGAACTCACCATTTCTCTTGGTAATTAGCTTCACTATCAGACTGCTCTGAATGTTAGGAAGGTTTGTCTAACATTCACTTGCCATATGCTTTCTCATAACTTTTTTTTGCTGTATAATATTCACACTTGTTCAAACAATCTTGCCCATTTTTGTCCTTCCAAATCTTAAGAGAATGCTACCATACCTTCCCCATGTTTTATCTGTTTGAAGCTAAATATTGTGAGTTTCTTTAATTTTAGACTGACTTTCTAATTGCTATCCAGAATAATATGGGATCTCTCTCAGATATTTTACTAATAACAACAGCATTGCAACAATCTAAGGAGGATATAAGCAATCCTTAACTTGTGACCAAAATTGAACCCAAAATTTCTGTTGCTAAGCAAGACAATTGTTAGGTGAATTTTGCCCCATTTTATGACCTTATTTGCCACAGTTGTTAAGTGAATCTGGCTCTCCCATTTACTTTGTTTGTCAGAGGGTAACAAAAGGTGACCACATGACCCTGAGACACAGCAACTATCATAAATATGAACCAATTGCCAAGCGTCAGAATTTTGCTCATGTGACCATGGGGTTACTGTAATGGTCATAAGTGTGAAAACTGATCATAACTTACTTGTTTTAGTGCTGTTATAACTTCAAACTATCACTAAAAGAATGACTGTAAGTTGAAGACTACCATTACAAGTTTAAAAAAGATAGGGTAAGGATTACACTGGAATTAACAGTGACAGAATAAAAAATATGATTACACCGGGATTAACAGTGATAGAATAAAAAAGATGATTACACTGGGATTAACAGTGACAGAATAAAAAAGCTGATTACATTGGGATTAATAGAGATAGAATAAAAATGGATAAGGGGGAATACATCTCAAAAAGGAAGAGAAGAGAAAGAAATGGGGAAGAAAAAGGAGGAGAAGGCGGCAAGGGAATGGGAGAAAGGGAGGAAAGTGTCAAGAAATGGAATTGTGGAGAAATTAAAAGAAAATAGGAGATAGTAAAAAGGAATTTTAAAAATGAATATGCTAATTGAAGAGAAGGATGTTAACTTTAGAAATCATATGTAAAAAGCAATTTAGAAGGAAGATACAGATTATTGTAAAAGGGATATAAGTAAAGATAAAATGAAATGTGAGTAAGTAAAAAAGAAGAAATACACTACTTGATGTAAAATAGATCAGTAGATGGAATGTGAAAGACAGAATGGACTATATTTTGTTGTTGGAAGATGTACAAATTCGAGAGAAATAATAGTAACAAAAGAATTAATTGAAATTAAGGGGAAAATTGAAATGTAAAATGGAATAAAATGGAAATGTTAATAAATGATGCA